CCCCTCCCCTATCTTTCTCTCGCACTTATTCTCTAACTCTCTCTCTTTCAATAATTCTTGTGACATTTAATGTTTTACTGTTGTAGAATTGTTTAAGAAGGATTTCTTTAGTTCACTTTAATGGTTTGTCCTTCTGCTTCTCAATAATAACAGACATTGTTGCCATATTTTCCTCTCAGAGTAAGGGTCATGTACCAACAGCCCAAATAGCCGCCACGTCGGATGAGTATGTTCTAGACCAGTTGTCCACGTCGGAGGAGAAGCTGCTCAAGCTACTGGAGGAATTGGATGGAAATGATATCAACGAAGTTCTCAAGCAAATGGAGGAGGAAGAGGTGAGTGGGCAAACAAGAACTGACACGTTTTAGAGAATAAGTTATGGTATTTCATTTAATTTGTGTAGCGCAAGTTCCCAATAATAGCAAGCTTTATGTGCTTTATGTTGTATTATTACCCATGCAGACCCAATAGCATTCTGAAACAATATCAAGTTTCTGGACTTCAGTGCTTCCTTCATGATACGTCAGTGGAGTTGCTCTGCTTTCTGGTGTGCGTCAGTCCAGATGCGTTGTGTGTATAAATATGCCGTGAGCCTACATGGTAAACACACAGCAGGGTTAAATAGTGTTACACACGGTGCTTTCTTGACAAATCTGAGTACAGCTTCACAGAGTTCACTAACGTTTCTGTAAGGGAAAGATTTGTGCCTTTTCTACTTAGGGAGAGTTACTGAGAGCTAAGTTCTTACCAGTGCTCTGCTATGCACTCAAATTTATGGGTAATCGCAGAAAGTCTGGAAAGTTGAGAATATTGTACTTTTGATGTTGTCTTGCAGTTCTGAAACATTTGAACAGCAAGACCCGTATAGTCAAAAGGCACATTCAGGAAGGGTTTTTATATAGTAGCTTTAAGTTTCTGTTTTATATATGCTTGCTTCCTTGAGCCTCATGCTCTGCAGTGAGTCAGCATTTTAATTCCTTCAATTGTATATCTTCACAATCCATACAAGAAACTGCACTGTTTCCTTAAATTGTTTTCAACTGTCACCTTTCCTGCCATACATATTCCTGTGACCTTTTCGCATTTTACACTACTTCTGAATTCCTGTTTCTAATTTGGGTTGTTTATTTTGACGGATTTTCATGTGCTTGCTGTTTGTATCTTAACGCATCGGGATTCCTTTGTATACTGGTAAGAACATCAACTCTGTTTTAGGAAATGAAATTCCATCAATGTCTTTTTCGCTTTTTTGGTGTTTGGTTCACTCTGAGAAGGTTCAAGGGAAGATACTGCCTCTTAAATAAATAATAGTGTTGATAGGGGCATTAAACCCATACCATATCACCGTTTTTCAAGGGAAGATATTAGACAAAAGACTGATGGTTGAGAGTCATCTTCTTTGAGTTGCTTTTAAATGTTTCGTGCTTGAGACAAGTTTTCACTGTGAAAGGAAGTCTTTTGACCTTTCTTTGAAATGTAGCAAGATTCACAATCTTTGAATATTGTTTGTTTTGAATGTTGATTGTGGCTTTCGATTCCTTTTTTTCATGAACTTTCACAATCAACTCTTTTAGAATCTCACAAGGAGGACTTTTTTATTTGTATTTAAATATGACATGGATGTATCTGGCTTCTTGCACTTTTAAGCATGCTTAAATATCCACTAAATTTTCATCCATCTCAAAGAGTTTCTATACAGATTCTCATCTTTGACTCTTCTGTCTTTTTTACCTCTCAGATAGGCCTTTATCCCAGAGGTGGTTTTTGTTGAATGAACTGCATCCACTGAAACCTTTTTGTCCCTAAGATTTATGTGTCCAAACCGCTCTTAGCACTTTCACATCTTCAGTGCCGAGAGTGCATCACTCAAATTTAGCCTAACAAAATGTTTCCTACTTAAATATTTTACTTCTTGTTTTTCTTAGACTTAAACAACTTTCGTTGTCTGTGGTGTAGCGGGATTTTGCATGCCGGAGACCTAAGTTCAATTTCTGAGTTGGGAAAAGTTTTTATCGAGTATCTTGGTCTTTTTGCTGAGATGTTATATTCCTCTCAGCATATAGTTTGGCCCTGACACATAGGGGTAAAAGCCTGCCTCCTTAATGATCTATTTTTTTTTCGATGGGGGCGTGAAGACTCCTACATTAAAATTTTAAAAAATAAAATATATGAAAAACCCTAGCTCCTTTTTCAACACACTTGTATTTATCTCGGATCATGAAGGAAATCTGAATTGCATTTGTTGAGAGAACTTTAATGACCTACTCTCTTGCATGGCATTGTCTTTTCCAGGCTTTATTTTTCATCACGTCTTCTAACTTTGAAGCCTTTCTTTTGGATTCTTACCAACTGAACCTTTGTTCACATATGTTGCTTGTTCCTATCACCCGTCGTCTTTCTCTTCATCATTGTTCATTGTTGATTGTCCACTTTGGGAAGTTCCCTCTAGGAAAGTCATTAGTCAAGAAATATTTTTTGGTGTTTTCGATGATTTTTTTCTTCTTTTAAGGCCCCAAATCAGTTTTTCACCTTTTTCTCTTCATTCCAGGAAAAGCAGTCTCTTACTATCTTGTCAGTTCCTTCATCTGTAGCTGGCAACAAAAAATTGCATGCTTTTTTTACTCTTCTTGTTTGTTTCTTGTATGCCTTTTGAAACGTTCCTTTCTCCATCCCCTTACTTTAATTCTTCAATATTAAAATGTTCCTTCTTTAGATTTGATCTGCTTCTTCTTTGTCTTTTTTCTTTCAAGTATTCTTCTATTCATTTCTCCTTTTCTTTCGTTCTCAGTTCCATGCTAGCATAGAAGGAAAGCTACCAGCGTACAACACGAGAGTGAAACTGCCGCAGACTCAGAGAGATTTGGTGTATGGAGATGGTAAGTTAATTTTGATATTAATTTGTTTTCGAGTTAAACAGTCATTGATTAATCATTGTCAATCTTATTCCTGTTTTCCCACAATTTTGTTTTTCTTCATTGTCTTTTACTGTCTCTATGTCTTTGTGACTCTCTTTCTTTTTGTTTTTGGTCTATATTTTTATTTTAGATATGTTAAACTTTCATGCAGCACAAAATTGTTAACCGAAATGGTTATGATCATTTTAACAGTTACTTGGCATTTTTTTAGTGGTTTTGTTATCGGCCTTTGTATATTTCCAAATCCCTTTCAGCCAGCATCTGTTATGTGCATTACACTTAATTGCCATTGTATAAACTATGCATAACTCCATTTGACTTAATTTAATATAAACACTACTCATCCAACAGATTGTGTTTTCTCTCAAAAATGAATTTGTGATCATTTTTCAGAAGAAAAAAAGAAACATGTTAATCAAAACAAATTCCTGTTGTATATGGCCACATATGATTTCATTTTAATTCTTTTTGTTGTATAAACATTTCTTTAACAGCTTTTTGGACTAGTTAAAGGGAATTTATGCATAAAAATTATTCAATGCTTTTACTCTGTAACATTTGGTTTTGAAACTTCTGGCTAAATTTATTTGGTTGGGATTGTTCTGTCTTTCTCTTTGAAACTTTATACCCCACTTTTGGGGTTTATTTTCATAGTTAACTGTTGTGGTAATCTTATTCTTGTTTCTGTTTACAGAAGATGAAGACAGTGGGGAGGATGATGGCGATGTGCCATCTCGCAATGCCATCAAGAAGCAGTCACAGTTTATTGTAGACAGCAAAACTAAACGCAGAGTCCCCAAGAAGAAGAAGAAGATGAAGTAAATATCAATCGAACTCACTATGTTTTAGAAGTAGGTTTTGTCTGGTTTGAGAATATTAAAACTTCAAATTTACAACCCCCCCAAAAAATAAGAAAGGAGATTTTGAACTTTTGTAGAAACTTTGGAAACTCAAAATATGGAGGAGGAAATAAAGTTTTCTTCAAGGTGAGGAGAGCAATATGTAGGCATTCTGTATGAGCACAAGCCTGGTTCTCAGCTTTTATTAAAGAACCTTTACAGTTCTTTTCATTTCGATTACTTTTTTTATTTACCTGGACAGAAAAAGTGATTTGTCAGATGCCTACATGCTTTTTTAAGATAACTTTCTGAATCATGATAGTGTACCGAGACCTTAGTTTCATTTGGCATTTGAATGGTTATAAAAAAATTTGGGTAATAATGAAATTGAAAAAGCAGATGGAAACAGCCACACCAGAATTATGAAAGGAAGTGTTTTACGTTCTGTAAATAAGAGAGACAAGGAGTTGTTCTGATATAAGAGAAATGTTCTGTTTCAATAGATATAGCATTAATTCTTTTTTACTTCTTGTAAGTTGTGGAAATTTTGTATACTTTGAGAATAATTTAATATTTGTATAGAATTAATGTAAAAGTAATATGCTTAAAAAGAGTGGAAAAGAAACCCAGTTTTGATCAAGCGGAGATTGTTTGCATTCAGAGATTTTCTCAAGTGTTGAATGGTTTTGTGCTTGTCATGAAATATCAATTAAAAATGTTCCTTTGGTTCTGTATTTATGTAAATTGATGGAATATGTTTGATTGTCACATTTCTGTGATGGAAAGGCAAGACGGAAAGCCACCAGAACTTGCTAAAGTTTTCACAATACCATACTTAATATTCACATTAAAACGTTAAAAACGGTAAAAGTACATATAATATAGTCAGTCAGCGAGCTGTTTGAATGTGCTAAGCCTAAAAAGACAATTTTTTTTTCAAGAGAGAGGAAAGACTGTATCATAATAATTTACAATCATACCTACATCATGTATTTTTTTAGTGCTTTTAAGAAAAGACATTCCAAGTTTGCATTTTGACAAAATGTTTTTTGAGCACTTACATTTCTTACAAACATTAAGGAAACTGCAAATGATTTTTTCGAATTTAAATGGGGAAGGGCGGGGGGGGGGGGGGGAGCTTAGTAGGCCTACTTCTGAACAGTATATGGACAATACAGATGCTATCAGCTGTCTTTTTTCTACTTTTCAAAGGAGATACCTGAGTAGAGCTTGATAACTGTAAATTTTTTTTTCACATCCTGTAAAGTTTCCCAGTATTTTGACAGCTTATGTCTCTGTTTTTCTTTTTTTGTTGTTGTTCTTGTTAAAATCAGGTATGTTTCTTTATTTCACGTGATAAGTCTTTGCCATTTAATGCCATTTTATACTTTTGAAGCTGTCAGTAAGGGAATGATCATAGCTTAGTATGCTTTGTGAATTTGCTGCTTTGGATGGAAATGAAAATACCACACATACTTTTTAGGACAAGAAGGGACGAATATAGTATTTCCCATGTCATCTTTTCATGAAATTTCTTTTAATGAACTTTTTTAAAATCCATCTGTCACTGTTTTTCTAATAGGTTTCTGAACATTTTAAATAGTCACTTAGCTTTTGACTCTTCCATTTAGAAAAGAAATGTTTTCAAGACACGATATACAATCACGAGAAGCAATATAAGAATATTGTCTAACTTTTAGTCAGTTTTTATTTTTTCTTTACACAATTTTAATGTATTTGTTTGATAGGTTTCAAAACCAAATTTTTGTGTCTTCCGTTTGGCTTTTATTGTCGATATTCTTGTCATGGAGCTTGTAAAGACTTTTCTTGGTGGAACTATAATCAATTTTATTGAATTTTTGATAATAAATGTGTGACTGCTGATTTTGTGAAACTTTGTTTACAATTTTTACACATAGTTTAGAAGGATTTTTGACATCTTTCCTTCTATTCAATATTTGCATGAATATCAAATATGTGTCAACAGCTTGTACACTGGAAAGCAAATTGGTATAGCAGTTATAAGTATGCAATTAATAAAGATCAATAACAGAACTTCAGTTCTTTCCTCGTCTCTGTTCATCATCCGTGGTAATGCATCTTTTTGTAAAGGGACTGATTCTTGTTTAATTAATGCTCTGTGATGTGGAGCCCCTATATGAAAGGAGATCCTGCTAACTTGGGGCAGAAATTTTGGGTGTAAAACTTTGAATGTACATGTAGATGGTTGGTGGGGCTCAGGAGTGGTTTGCTCAAGGACCTTAATTCGACTATGTATAACCTCTCTGGGTTTGCTCCTTCTTTCCTATCAGACATATCGTCCTCTTCTCTCCTTCTTCTTTTGTCTGTATGCAAAACTCTAGTAACACCTTAAATCTTCGGCACTTATATGACCTGTTTGTGTTGCAAGTGACAGGAAAGCTCTAACTCAAACTAAACGAAAGTATTTGAACCCTATGAACCCTATTCTTAAAAATATAAGTTAGAATTGCCTTCATGCATGACCTCATGCCGGCACAATGTGGCCTCGATAAAGAGTGGAGACTACAGGGTATTTATACCCACGGAACAACAATCTCACGATTTTGAGTCCGGCAGTCTAAACTCTTAGACTACCAACTTATCGATTTTGGACCACCAAGGGATCTTTAACATGCGCATCTTGCACTCGGAACCTCTGAGATTTTTTGTCCTTACCTAGAAGGCAAGGTGTTAGATCCTACCTACCAAAAAATCAGGGGTGTGGCTGAAAGACAGCAGTAAGAAGGAGCAAAAGAGTAACAGTAGTAAGGCTGCAGAAAGAGTCAGGAGCCCAGAGGAGGGGGAAGAAAGGGGGCGGCTGAAAGTGGAGACGGGAGCAGACGATGATGATGATGATGATGATGATGATGATGATGATGTTGATGATGATAAGATAAGATAAAGATCATTTCTATAGCCCACCCTCCCGGTACGAATTAGATATGAATTCACCATTTTTGGAATGACAAATAAGATTGACAAACTTGAATTTTTTCAAAGGTGGACATCATCAGAACACAACGCGTGCTTTTATGAGGAAGAAGTCTATCTTGAGTCTCAAACTCAAATTATTCATGACCGTTTTTTTTTTGGGGGGGGGG